CGTTGCGAAAACATTTCTCATGACTAGAAGTATTGTACTTTTTAACTATTCAACGTTAGATTATCGAATTTTTTAGGAACCGAGCTGATAGAGGTATCGTGGGTTTGCATTTTACGCGAGCTTAACTTTTAAATCAACATGTGGCACTTGCTGCAAGTAACAATGCCACTAAAACATGTAGAAAAAGTACGAAAAGATTGTCGCCGCTGTGGGAATCGAACCCACGTCTTCGGCATTCGCGGCCTGACGCTCTAGCCACTGAGCTAAACGGCTGATAACCACAGCGACGAAAATCTTAACTCCTTCTTTCTACATTGTTATTTAGCATTTGAAGCAATGCTTGGCGCATCTATTGTTATATCCTTTACAGCATACAAACAATTTCGAATATCGTTTTACAACGATAATTCGAACGAGAGATGTCGCCATTGCTTTTTATAAATTTTAAAGTTTTTTATAGTGCTAATCTCTGCACTTAAGATTGAACATTAAAACATGTAGAAAAAGTACGAAAAGATTGTCGCCGCTGTGCTAAATAACAATGTAGAAAGAAGGAGTTAAGATTTTCGTCGCTGTGGTTATCAGCCGTTTAGCTCAGTGGCTAGAGCGTCAGGCCGCGAATGCCGAAGACGTGGGTTCGATTCCCACAGCGGCGACAATCTTTTCGTACTTTTTCTACATGTTTTAATGTTCAATCTTAAGTGCAGAGATTAGCACTATAAAAAACTTTAAAATTTATAAAAAGCAATGGCGACATCTCTCGTTCGAATTATCGTTGTAAAACGATATTCGAAATTGTTTGTATGCTGTAAAGGATATAACAATAGATGCGCCAAGCATTGCTTCAAATGCTAAATAACAATGTAGAAAGAAGGAGTTAAGATTTTCGTCGCTGTGGTTATCAGCCGTTTAGCCCAGTGGCTAGAGCGTCAGGCCGCGAATGCCGAAGACGTGGGTTCGATTCCCACAGCGGCGACAATCTTTTCGTACTTTTTCTACATGTTTTAATGTTCAATCTTAAGTGCAGAGATTAGCACTATAAAAAACTTTAAAATTTAATGCCACTAAAGCTGTATGATTACGCCATGTGAATAAATTTACTTCCCACGAAGCACAAAGAACAGATAGTTTGGGCTAAATTCAGTTTTAGTGCAGCTCTTACTTTGGAAATAGTTATGTAAACTGCATTTCTGCAAGCTTACTATAGAATATATCATTAGTGGTCACAATAGATGGTCGGTACCTACGGTTTCGAAAATCTTCTCCCGCTGCATTTGTATCCGAAAGTTAATTATATGGAGCTGTAGGACCACGCAGTGGTTTTGTTACACGAATGGGCAAGTTCATCCGAGGAAGCGCTATGGCCTTATAGAGGATCAGCGTGAAGTGAAAAATGATATTTTTGCGTTTCGACCGGGGAATAAGACAGCAGGGCCGGTTTTTATAAAAAGCTGGCAACTGCCAGCAAACATTTTTTTTTAATGTGAGAAGGTAGCAAGTGGGCTGGTGCCGCCCATGGACATTTGCAACACCCGCATATGTTGCTATAATTTAATAATGTGGTTCCCGGCTACCTCACTCACCAGATGAAACGCAGAAGTACAACACTTTCTTTTCACGCTGGTCTTCTTTGTGGTCGACATATGGTATAGAAGAGATTGGCAGGCTTTTGACAAGGTCTTTGTTTGGCAGTGAGATAATTGTGGACTGCGATTATTATTATGATGATTTCCACTGATCTAAGATGGCGATACAGTATAAGTTTTTATATGTTATACAAATCGGTTTGAAGTTTTACGTCTATAAATATCGTTTATATATATTTGAATTGTTATTATATGTTTGAATATAGACTAAATCTTTTGGCTTCCATGTTCAACAGTCTAAGTAAAATACTAAATACCTTTCGATTAATTATAATTGTTCAATTTAATATCGGGGAATGATAGCGTTCTAAACACCGGAGAAGGTTGTTTCGATTAGCAAGGCAATTTTCTTTTTCCCTTTATCAAATACAGGACGTGACTGCTTGAAATGAGATTGTTTCATTTGTATCCTCATTCAAGTCCATCAGCACGTTTCAAGAAACGGCAAGCAAGAAATGGGCCACCAGGCTCCGGGCATCTTTTTGCCATTCAATTGTTTAAAATAAATATCCGTTGAATTAGAAAAAGATCAAATAAGTATGTCAATGGTGTCAATGAAATTTCTGGTAATACTGTATAGGTATTTGTTTTTGGATCATTACTTATTTTTTGTTTATAATCTGGATTCTGCGTAAGATAAAAAAATCGAAATACCACAGAATGTTTTTGGTGATGATAAATTATAAATAGCAATAACAAGAATAAGTATGCTAGACAGTAAATATTGTACAAAAATGTAAAACTTAATGGGAATACTTTAATTTCCCACTTCCTGCTTTTTATATTTATAACATAATTCGCCGGTTATTGCGAATGGATTTTGGGGCCTAATGGACCGTTAGTTGAACGGATTAATTTTTTTGCGGACCGATGTTCTTACCGAGCAGATCACTCTGTGTTTCGTTTGCAAGTCAAAATACTTTAGTTTTTAAACATGGACCTGGGTTATATGTTACTGTTTACTAACTCTTCAATTTTTAGTTATGTTTCACCTCTCTGTTTCTGAAATCTATGAAATATTGGTATATAATATATTACTTCACAAATATGTAAATAAATAGGCTTTGGGAGAACTTCATCACGATTAATAAAGAAAAGATCGAAACGATCAACGTTTATCATAGAAACGAATATTATTTTTCCATCTTCGACGGTAATTAGCTCGCATAAGAAAAACAAAATAAGATCATATATTTGTGTTTTTCTTTCACAACGCAATTACTGCGTAATGATACCGTACTTGTTCAATTCCGTCCGACTTAACGAGTGTTTTCATTGACTAGGAACGGGCTACCAACAATCTTAATTGTCTAATTGGTCTACCGAATAACAAAATAAACCGTCGATAGTTTGGTTCAGAACGGCGTACATATAAGGCGAGATAAAGCTAAGTAAATTGCTATTCAGGGTCGGTGAAGATAGGTGACCTAATTTTTCCCGGGATGGTTTATTGTGTCGAGCGTCGAGCACTCACGGTTGAATAACGAGCAATGTCTGGAGCGAGCCTTTCGTCGCTTTCACACGGAAGGCCGCCGGGACCAGCCAGGTCGATTATCCAATTGGGAGCACGATTGACAAACGACCGGCCGGTATGCCCTGCACGGGCCCCTCTGCTCCCTCTCGGCTATATGGGCCGCCTTTTCAGCTCCAATCCGAAGGAACGAGGTTACCCACTTAACTGTCGATTATCCGGTGCGAGGCGCGTGAATGTACTTTCTAAAGCGTCGTCGAAATATCGCCCGGCGCCGGTCGTTGACCGACACCCGGTCACTTTAAGCTCGCACGGATTGAGGCGCTCACCACTGGGGATTTCCCGTTTTGTTTTTTTTATTTTCTTTTTGTTTCAGCAACAGTAATCTCCCGATCCGATGATCCGTTATGGGACATTACGTTGATGGTATAATTTAATCAAATGCGTGCCCTCGTGACTGCTGATTGCAGCACATATTCCGTGATCACGGGTTGGATATTTCCACATATTTTAAATGCCGAAACAGCTGTCCCATATCTATGCCCTATATGTATATTTTTTTATGCGAAAAGTTGTTAAACGAGCCGACGGTTCACCTGATGTTAAGTGAATACCACCGCCCATGGACATCTGTCACACCCGAGGGTTACAGATGCGTTGATACCCTTTTGAAAATTGGCGTCCGGCTACCTCACCCACCAGACGAAACGCGAAAGTATTTGTCATACTTCCACTTTAAGTTGGTCTTTTGTGAGGTCGTGGTACTTACCCGGACGGGCCTGCCCATTCGTATTACCACCGTAAAGAGGTGGTAAGGCATATGTATATGGTGAAAGGTTCACCGAATATTTACGTAACATTTAGGATAAAACAATATGTTTTCAAGTACCGTTACTTATTTTTCACATTCTGACAATGATCGCGAATCAGACAATGAGTGGCGAAAGACTTGATATCTTATTTGTGCGTGTGTGTATAAAATGAATTCTGAGGTCTAAATTACATTGCATACCTGACTATCGGATAAAAAACGACGAGCCGAGACCCTATACAATCGAGCAAGTGTAATTACTGGGGACGCGACGGCTCGACGTCGTTTTTCATTGGAAGGCGTGATCCGTTCGCGGGGAAAAAACAAATCGAGCGCGAAGAATCCACTTGCATCGGGTCCAGGCTGGTCTAGTCTGGTCAGCGGGACCAGGGTCAACGGCCCAGAGCTATGCGATGCGACCGCACATCGCACCGGCCTGTTTTACTTTTTGGCATTGCACGTAAGAGTACGCTGGCCCCAGGGCGAGTGGAATGCGAATTATGCAATACGCGCTTAACGAGATAGCGATGCAGATTACGCTGGTAGACTGTGGCTTTAGTTGCAAATATTTTTAGGATTCTGCGGCCGGTGTTATCTATATTTATCGCCTTCTTTGCAATGAAATCCCCTCTGAAAGTATTCGAACCTCAAACATTTGGATTATAATGGAATATAAGCGTAATATAAGAACGTCAAACTCGTTCATATCCGAATTTCAGTCATAAAAATGTAATGTGATTCTATTTGACACTTATACGAATTGAATTCCACTTAAGTGCTCAATGGAGTCTCTAAATGCGGTAGAATTGTTGTACTTCTGTACGTTGTACTTCTGCCAGCATCTTATTTTTATGTTTCCGGATTGGACGTGAATTTCAGAACTGTTTGTCGTTCACTGTATTATGCTGGCCATACATATTACACAACGCACACGCGTTTTATAAAAAAAAAGTAATGTATAACAAAATAACAAAATAAGCTATCTAGTCTTATTCATGGGTATATCATTGGCCCATGGATAAGGTGCCACGGGGGCAGGCAGCTTTTTTAATTGTAGTTTCCTTTGTTCCAGGTTTGAGGGCGGCATGGCGTCGCCTAGACATTTCCTTGAGCTGATCGCAGCTCTCGCCATCATATCTGGCTGTATGGCAGGTGAGTGACTATCCATATAAGAGCTTTACATGAACTTTCCAACGGTGTTTGAAAATTAATTTAAACAATATCAATGATTTCTATTTTAATCAAAATGTTTGCAGCACAAAACTACGAGTACTGTGACTATGTAATACCTAGATTCTATACCATTCTCAAGCTTCTCACTTACGGATTATTTAGTTTTCTAAATTTGTTATTAATTCTGGTGCAAAACTAAAAAAAATGTTCAAGTATCTTAAAATTGTTTCACCTAACAATACGAAGTACTACCTAAAATACTTATTTATAAACTATACTAATCTATTCTAGCCGGAATTGTTCATTCAATTTCACCGCTAAATCATTGGTTCCAATCTAAATGTGAAATTTAATTTGAATATTTACTACGTAATGATAATTCAGAGCGATGGTGAGCACATTAATGCGTATATAATTTAGCTTTTGCGAAAATATTTCTATGGGGCGATGATTCGTTGGCAGTTACAATGTTATGCACATATTTGACAAGTAATGTAACAGGAAGTGACTTACAGAAATTATTAGCAAATTTATTACACGCGCGGTTAGCTAAATGGAATATAATCCTTGTCTTAGTTTTTAGTGATGAATTGATATCAATAAGAAATGAAAGCCCTTTTTTGGGACGCCACTTGTGTAGACACTTTGGCTGCCTCTCATCTAAGGGGTACTTCGGTCAGGGCCGGGGCGGCATCGGAGGCAGCTGAAGTAAGTAAATGGCGCAAATATGAGTCTTTATGTTTACATTATGTATTTGTGCCATTTGCTGTTGAAACTCTAGGTCCGTGGGGTCCATGCACATCAAAAAAATTTTAAAAGTTTATGTCCTATCCTTAACGCCGCGGCTGGTGACAAGAGAGCTGGTTCTTTTCTCGCTCAAAGGTTAAGCATAACTGTTCAGCGAGGAAATGCAGCTAGCGTTCTTGGCACCATGCCGCGTGGATTGGGTTTATTAGATAATATGTAATTTTTGATAGATTAAACATTGTAAATATTATATCAATTAATATTAAATTGTATATACTTTTAATAAAAAAAATAAGGAATGTAAAAGAAGGTAACATCGAATTTCAGCAAGCTGCTTAAGGCAAAATGTATCTAGCTCGATGCAGACGTGTGCAGCGTTACTCTTTAGACGTCCCGCTGTGTGTAATTTTTTTATATGAAAAGTTGAAAATTAAGTAACCGTTCGCCTGATATAAACCACCTGGTAAAATATAGGAACAGCCTAACTGCTGGCCGCCTCTTTGCGTAGGGTATTCGGGCTTAGTTCATCACGTGACCTTTCACGGTGTTTTCTTTCACCGCTGAGCACGCGATAAGTGCAAGTTAAAATTATAATTGGTGCCGGCACCGGGAATAGAACTCAGGTTGAGTTCTATTCCCGGTGCGGAAAATTGAAAAATGAGGATAAAGGAATTCACACTTGGTCACAGACATCTCACGGATACAAGATATCATCCAATGTAGACTAAGAAGTTAACTGACCGCGCCGCAATCTGTTATCACCCGATAACAGATTGCGTGGACAGTTTACGTGAGCGTACGTATAATCCGCACGGGTTGTGCAACCCGAAACCGCTTTTCGTATGCGGATTGCGTATTTGGAGACGTGTCGAGTAGCGAAGCCGTGACGTGCAAGACACGACAGCAGGCGAATAACTTTTGTCGCACACTGTACGTCTTTCGCGGAGGTTCAGTAAAAATTAGGTCAGTTCATTGTGTACGTTTCAGATCGTACGGGAATTGACAAGTAAGTGATCTGTAGAACGAAATACTAATCGCATAATACTCGACACTGGATCCCGTGACCCGGGACTGGGTTAGGTGACTTACCTCAACAGTCCTGTTGCAACTTGGTGTCCTAGAGTTGGCTAAAGAGAGCCCGACCACGCCGTCACAGCGCAGATATAATGGTCTTATCGAATATATCGCACAAGGGTTCTTAGGTCACCGAGCACAGTACTTGACACTTCCAGGGTCAAAGAGATCTCGAGATAAAATTAGCTTAGGTGCGTACGCGGCGGTGATAGCTGTAAGATTAATCATCTTATTAATTAAAAATCTAAGTTTAGAAAGAATAGATACATACATATATTACTTGTTCCAGTTCGGAACAGTCATTATGGCGGTTTACGCATGCATCATTACATTAATACCATATAAATTGTTCATCCTTTCCTTGTAGTACGACTTTCACTTTAACACAACGTTAATAACAGACGTGAGGTAAACAACTGAATGATGACTTCGCTGTGGTGGAATGGCTAATGGTTCTCGTAAAAGCCGACACTTCTCGTTTGTCCACGGACGGAGGCTATGGCTGCCGTCCCTCCGAATTGAGAGAGAATTAATTTGAGGAAAGAAAGCAGTTTCCTCCCATTGTTCGCGCTATTCAAAGGCACGCTGTGAGCCAAACAACTCCGTAAAAGTGAGATGCGGCCGCTCAATACACGACTTCCGTGAAGCTCCAAATTTTGTTTATTGCCGTCGCGAGGTCAAGGCCCACTGGTCTCGAGTTTTCGGCCACGCACTGGCGCATTTCCTACCGACGAGAGACGTTTGCATATTGGAGCGCACACACATATAAGACAGATCAAACTTGTAGTATCAATCCCTTATGCGCCGTATGTTTGTACAGATTTAACAATTAAACATTGTTAAATATATATGTATCGGCGACTTTATACACATTATTCACTGCACTCGAGTCAGTATCAAATAATACGTATAAGAAATCGATCGCATACCTTCTACTTTCAATACACGCATTACAATCGATGTTAGCTCTACGTTCTTTACCGTACTAGATAATGAAAAGGTTTAAAGTAAATGATAATAAATGGCGTTAATGTTGTAAATGTGAAAATACCTGAAGAAACATTGGAATTTAGCTCATGCGCTGGATTAATATATAATATTTTAGTTATTCTTGACTTGATAGCCTTTGAGTTAAGGAGATAATTATATTTATTTTGAAAAGCTCGTGGAAGAAATTGGAATAGAATTGTCTGTTAGTTAATACTCAGTTCACGTGGCAAAGCAATACCGCCGTTTGTTTTTCACTTCTCATTAGTGTCCACAAGTTCATTTAAAATAACGTCCTAACTTTGACAAAAAGGTTGAGCTGACGTGTAGAGTATGTGAAATGCTATCAACATCTCAATTAAGCGGACCGTTAGTATAAATTTGCAAAAAAGGACGAAAAGCAACTGACAAGTTACATTAATTGCATAATTATCAAGTTTTGCAACAACCTACCCTTATGCATATCTTATACTTGATATCGTGAGGAAACGTAAAAAAATATCTAGTCATATTCCAGTCTATACATATCCAATGGGAATCAAAGCAATGAAGATGGCTCAAGTAGTTTTTCTGATGAAAGACGAACTTATCGTGAAGTTAGATAATATTTAATTCGTAAGAAATTTTGACAATGTTTACGCCACCTTTTTCTAGTTATGTAACTAGTGTTTCAAAAGATGGTTTTTAATAGATTCGAGAAAAAAATATTAATTTATTCAGATTTAAGAGAGAGATTTCTAACATGTTTTTCTTTCATGTTACTGAACCTAACAACTGTAGTTTTGTGGCATGCCGACAGTTTTATTCTGGTAGTATTTCTTGATGTTTTTTGATATTGAAATGACGTTCAATAAAGCAGATAGTATTCGTTAGAAGATTAGGAGAGGATTGTAAAGAATGGAGTAGAAGCAGCGAATAGCGTATTAGCGAACGGGCGATAAGACTTGGAATATATACGGTCGCGAGCCACGGCCAGAGATAGTGACGCGCGCGGTCATTACCGAATGCGTTTATGTAAGTAGCTGTATGCCGCTATTGTGAATGTTTTAAAATATTTACTTATTTTAGCACGCACTTCATGATATAAGGGCCTGAGTGACGGGCAGCTAAAGAGGCGGATGAAAGAGATTCGCCTGTGGCAGAGATAGTGTGTAAATGAAATGGCGGTTCACTTTAAGTGATAACCGCCGCCCATAGACATTTGCAACACCCGTAGGGTTGCACACGCGTTGCCACCTTTTAATAAAGTGGGCCTGGCTACCGCACTTACCAGATGAAACGCAGAAGCATAACTCTTTCACTTCACCGCAGTCTGTGAGATCGTGAGCAATTATTAACAATTTTCCAAATTACTAACAATTTCTCAATGTTACAATTGTGAATTATTTAATTTTGTGGACTCATCTAAAACACAGAATCGACGGACTCGATAGATTTACAAATTTATACAAACTTCATGTTTGAATAATATGTTTCTCAGAATTAATAATTTATTCCAAATTCCTGAAGCAAGGCCGGTTATCATTTATGTGATAATTTTTATGCTTTGCTAATATTCCAAATTGTTTAGAAAGAGTATTTAAGTTATTTTAGAAGAAATCTTGTTTTGGTCACATAAGTAACTGAACATTGCTCTTTTATTCTTAAGGCTAAGTATTTGAATCAAGCTAAGAGAGCTTTGATTTAACTTTGAGCCGTGATAGCTCAGTGTCCGCCTTTAATTCAATATACTCGAGCAACCTGAGTTCGAACCCTGGTGCCGGCACCGATGAAATTGTTAATTTTAAGTGCTGAATTATCATGTGCTCCGCGGTGAAGGAAAACATCGTGAGGAAACCTGCATGTTTTCAAAATAATTAACAAACAAAAATATTTAGAAGATATGTGAAGTCCGCCAATCCGCAGATGGGCCGCGTGGTGGACTATGCCCTGATACCCTCTATACAAAGGAGGCCTTTTCCCAGCAGTGGGACATATATAGGCTGATACTTAAGCTTAAAGACTAAAAACATATATAAGGTAGGTAATCAGAGATAACGGGCCTCTAATTTTCACTATAAGTGAACACTACACTGCCGCTTTTAAGATAATTATTTTCTCCCATTTTACTTTCTTATTAAAACATTGCCAAATGTCATCTTGTATTGTAAAGTTGTTATTTTGTGTGTCAT